TATCGTTATAAACTTATAACAAAAGGAAAAGAGAAAAAAATTACCTTTACAATATTGTCAGCATATTTCATCAGCCATGAAACCAGCAAGCCAGTAGATCCTAAATTTAAAACAACCAACCATGTAGTAACAGTGTATCCATTAAAGATGCGCTGCCACCATGGCCCCTTGTTAAAACCCACTTGAAAATCATCCCATAGAAGCCGTATCATGTTAAAGATTGCTCCAAACCTGCCACAGTTTTGATACGAGAGAAACAAATAATTTACAAAATCTGCTTTTAGCTGAAAAATCCATATTAGAGGATGGAGCCTGTTAAGTAATTCACAGGACTCCATCACAGTTTCATACAGAACAGATAAAGTTACGTACGTGTATAACTGCAAATTTTGCCAATAAAGGCTGTCGCTGTTCTTCTTCATTAGGTATTCTGTATAAACACCAGCAAGTGCTGAAAGACAGGCAGACAAAATTCCCAACATGTATCCTTGTATTGGTGCTGAAAACAGTGAATCACATGATGCCTCGCCGCAGCCTTTTACCTGCATCAACCAGAATTCTGCTGAGTATTGTAGGATGAAATATTTTGATTATTTTCCAACACAATCGCATGAAACGTAGTTATCATGGAAATAATCTAAAAACAAAAACTGATAGATGGGAAAATTGACTGGATAAAGCAACAGAACTTGTTGAAAATGCAACTCCTAAGATATTGCGACAGTGTGTGCAAACCAAAGAAATAATTTAAAACAAACCATATATGCACACACACACACGCACGCACAAGCTTCTTTTTGGGACTTTCAGAAATGAATTTTTCATTCTTATTTAGATTTTTTTTCCAGAGAGATCATATATTCCATCATTTCTTGTATCCATCCACCGAGTTACATTTTCATAGGCGCATGGACAGGTCATATTTACTAGATTCCTCAAACCACTTCTTCCCATCCTTCTCTTGCTTTAAACACCATAAAATTTTGACGTTGTCGTATTAATTTTAAAGGTTCACAGATGTATTGCATATTCTATAGTAGGCATTGGTGTTTTGGAGAAATATTTCCTATCAATTGGATAACCTGCAATAAAATGGGTGCGTTGATCAAATAAACATGTTTGCTTCAAGATGGATCGCATACGTACCAATGTAGAACCAAGAGTGTAAAGATAATGGACTTCTGGTCATAAAGGTCAACAAGCATGTAAACGAACAAAACCAGATCTTAAAGACCTCACACAACAATGCAAAATTACGCATTACGCGGAGATCGTAAGTATGTAACTGAAAAAATTAAAAGTAATGTGAACTAATTTACTGCTGAAACACAGGTTTATCAACCACAGAGAATTTCTATGCACATAAAATTCAGGTGAACAGAGACATGCCAAAGTATTTCTTTAGCATGGCTGAAGAAACAAAAATGCTAACACAATGCTTAATGATCTACAATCATGTAGATAAAAACAAAAATCTTTTGAAGTAATATACTGAACTACATTTAACGAACTGTCAAGCATCTCAGTGAATCAGTCCCTGGATTTTGTACTTCGAACTGGAGATATAGTACACAGAATAATCTTATTTCAAATAACTTCTGAAATCATCAGCCACCTGTAACCTAAATGAAAACAGTCCCACTTGGATTTCAACTCTAGTTTGGAAAATAGAAAACAGGCAGATGTACATGTAAATATTTTAAAGAAAATATAACATGTATAGGATCAGCTGAAACTTTACCACCTGAATGAAATTAAACATGTATATATTCATTCAACAACTCAACAGTGAAAGTTTTTCATGAAAACAAGGTAACCTGGCTCGTAGTTGCCCCAACAGCCAATAAAACAATCGCCAACCATTGCAGATTAGACATCTTCCTCCTTAGGAACAACCTAAAGTATCATCAGAAACATAATAATTAGAAAACTCACATATTGGCAAAGTTCCTTGATGTGTGACAATTAACTGAAACATATGCAACTACCGCGATCTAAACATTTAGTTCAGTGTGATACCATCACAAACCAAGATAAGCACCTAAATAAAATGCCAGTTGTCACAATTTTAAGATTTCCCATTATCTGGTATGTTGACGGGTCCACATAAGTCAAAGTAGCAAACTGAACATTGTTGTGGATGAGGTATATGATAGAAGGTATTGGAAATAG